CCAAAAAATGCTTATTTAAGTCACTAATAATCTTTTCTTCGGAAACTCGAGGTTGACATCTTCTGCGATTCCAGCGCGAAACTCTTTGAAACACTGAAAATGAGAGAAGTGTCCTCCTACCAGTTGTGCTTCAAACAAGAATAGCTTTCTCCGAAATCATTTGATGATTATGTAAAGATCATAGATAAGGTTATCCTTTCCCTGAAGTTTCAAGCTCAATTCATTCATGTGGGATGTGATGTCAACCAAAAATAACAACTTTGACAGCCAGGTAGGATCTGACAGAAGTGGATCAGCTCTATCTATTTCGGTGAGAAAAATATATATTTCTCTTCGGAGCTTATAAAAACGAAACAAGACTTTACCGCAGCTGAGCCACCTCACTGCTGTGTGATAAGGCAGGTCACAGAATTCAGAATCAATTTCTTCACGAAAAGCCTGGAACTGGCAGTGATTAAGTGCATGACCCCGAATGAAGTTCACTGCAGAAACGACTGGTTTCAGTACGCAAGAAATATCTAAGTCTTTCCCACAGAGTGCTTGCTGATGTATAATGCAGTGTATAAACAGAGCGCCTGGGAGTTGAAGATCTTCCAACTTAGTTCGTATCTTCCCCACCAGACCCTTCCTCACTCCAGCCATGTTTTTTCCTCTATCAACTGTAACACATTGAAGCTAATTCCACTGAAGGTTATAGCCTTGCAAAGTTTTCTGCACTTCCATGAAAATGTCTTCTCCAGTTGTTGTTCCATGCATCCTGCAAACGGATGCCAACTCTTCTGTGATCTGAAAGTCCAAATTAACACCACGAATGAACACGAAAAGTTGTGACGTACTCGAGAGATCAGTAGACTCATCCAGCGTCAGAGAATACCATAAGAAGTTCCTAGCTTTCTCGCGTATCTGTAACACTATGTTCTCTCCAAGTTCTTCTGTTCTCCGCACAACTGAACTTGCTGAAAGGCTAATACTTCCAAACAAATCGGCTTTCTCAGGACACAAGTCATTTGCTGCTTCCATC